ACGAATGTATAAATTATTTCACTTGATATTATTTAAGGAAATTACATTTTTATTCTACTTTAATTGCTGAAAATACTTCTATCTAATTACCACTCAAACATTGACTTTAATCTTCAAAATAAAATTGATAATTAAATATTTTTAGTTTTTTTACATCGAATTTACTGGAAAATAAAATCCAACTATACGTTTAAAAATAATTCGTATTAACAAATAAATATTTGTTTTACTAAATACAAAATTTTTCTTTATTATATAAATTAAATTTATTTATCAATCAATCACAGTAAAAATAAAAATTTTTGGAAAGAATCCCTGTCACCAATAATACATTTCGAAAATTAAATTCAATAAATACCACCATAAATCACTGTGTCAAAAAGATTTCCATACAAAAGTCATAATGTTTAGTAACCAAAGTAGATATTTAGTTGAAGAATATTTGATAAAAAAAAAAAAAAAAACATTTAAAAGAGAAATATGGAAAAATTAATCGTGAAAAATCGGTAAAAGATTATAAAACAGATGATGATAAACATAGTGTGACAATTTAAAGCAACTATTGGCAGATTAGATGGTGAATGAATTTAACAGTAGAATATCGTTGATTGAATTGGTCATTACTGATTTGAGTGTACGTTAGTATGGGTTCAAAATGATGAGTACATATAATATGTAGGTAAATCTAGTGTGATCCCCAGGCCACATGTGAAGGCTATCGGACAGGTTTGTGGTAGCAGGCCGATTGATCCATCCGATTAACGTTTTGAATATTATCTCGAGCTTAAAATTGCCACAACTAATATTTTGTCGAATGTAAAATTGTTAATGGAATATTTTAGTGATAGTAAAATCACTAATTTACTGATTAATAGTAATAATCGATTGGTCAATTAAATTATTCATATATTTTTACAATACTCATTTAATTTATAAACGTTATAATCATTATAAAAATTTAAAAAAACCGAATAAAAAAAATTTATTTGATGTGATTATATAATAAAATGTTCCACTAAAAGAGAAGCAGTACAATTTGATTTGACTTGGAATATTAGTAGAGGAATTTTTGGAGCAATAAAAAATACTTTATACTGAAAAACAGATGGTTTCAAGTACCTAAAGCCTTATTTAAACCACTTCAGCCTTTTAAAACCACTACAACCTCTGAATACTTAATTAAGCTGTACAAAAAATTAATAACAATAGAGCTTATATGATCTCCTCCGACCTCTAATTTTTAATTCTGTGGTTCATCTTAAAAGAATTTTTGTTCTTTGATCAAATATTCTTATGAAAAAAATCTAAGAACAATTCATTTATTAATAATAATTCAAGTATATTAGCAAACTTGTTAAAAAAAAAAAGCTTGAGCGAATTTTTTTTTTTTTGCAAAATTAAAGTTCTTTAATTTCCTTAAACGAGGTAGAAATCGTTTATTAAAATTAATAGACTATTCATACTTTCATAATTCGTAATCGTGATTTACAATTGAACATTTTATGATATTCTTATTGTCAAGATTTAATTTTGATTTTAGTTTTCAAAGTGAATATTCATAAAACAAAAATTTTTAGTTAAAGATTAATTTTAATTATCTAATTTTTTTTTGTTAATTCGAGATATTCTTATTTAATTTAAAATCAATGAATTATTTATTTATTTAACAAATTTTGGACTATGTATCATTGTGTATCAATGATTTACGTTATATTATTATTATTATCAATTTTTTATTTAACTTTCTTGTAACGAATTTTTTAAATAAACTATTCAAATAATAAATATTTAATTGGAATAAAAAGAAATGATTGTTGAAGAAAATTTTCCATGAAGAATCGATAACCGTAATATAAATTGCAAAATAAAATACCTTATTTAATGAGGACGATATAAACAATGACGAGTAACAGACGTAAAAGAATGAGAAGGAGGCCACAGATAGTGACATGTGCGGGTCACAAAAAAATTACGTAAATTAGTGTCAATTGCGGACGACCCGTTAGAGCCTGAGGGATGACATGGGCGGACTGCAGGTTGAGAGTGGATTTGCACGGCCGGCGACCAAACGCCAGAGAAGACACGGGGTGAGAAGAGTTCGGAGAGCTGTGTGTGATTGATGAGCCAGTGATAGCGACGGGTCTGCACTCGACACTTTGCTACTGCCACCAAACAATGCATATTCATCGGACGTATAAATAATGCCTGTTTAATACATAAATATAACCCGACAAACCTATAGTCAGAATTCAAGCCACTCTCCAAGTTATATACAATATACAATATTGTGATAAATAATTTATGAAAAGTTCTTTAAATCTATACCAAAACCTCCAATTGATTTTCACATTATTTTCTACATAATTAATCTTTCCATTTCTCGAATTATTTCATTTTATTTAAATATTCATCTTCTTTTATTTATAATCCTCTGGATATAATCAATTTTTACACGGAAAAATTTTATTCTTGGGAAGGTGATTTTAAATATACATGATAATTAAAATCGACTATTTCAGTGAATACATTTTATCTTAAGACTGGAATCAATTTTAATCAAATAAATAGATTAATTAATTTTACTCATTTATTTATTTTGATTAACTGTTTGTTTGAATTAATTAATTATCAGTCGGAATTTTTCGTAGAAAAAATGTCAACTCTAATGGAAGGGATAATGAATTTTTTAATAATTGATTTGACTGATTTTTTAAATGAAAATGAACTTGCGAAATTAATTCATAGATTATTTTTCGTTAATTTAAACGAACAAAAATTCTAAAATAATTAATTTAAAAAAACGGAACAAGAATAATTACTACTCATAAAGTTCAGCCTTTATTTCTTTATCTTCTGGCAATTTTTTTCTCATTTATCTAACAGGAAGTGACGTGAAGTCATGTAGTTGTAATCAATTTATCGTGGCGTGAATTTAAACGGTGTAAGTACCACATATGTTAGCGATTCGCCGATCAATTATTTTTGCTTGCGTGCTTACTAGTTTACGATCATGCTTGCAATACTGGTGTTTATACATTACAAGTATAAACTCTAATCTATCTATCTTTATGTGTAATACTGGAAACATTAGCGTGTATATTTAAGGGGTGTATATGTGGTACGCGTAATTTTACCAGACCGGCACGAATTGTAAAAGCACCTTACTAGTGAGTGAGCGAAGAAGACAGCGTTATCGTACATGTTCAACTGGCATGCCGTGGCTATAGAATTACGACAAGATCGCGTGCTAAACGATTCCGCTTTCATTTGAACACTGCTCTGTAAAATATCACAAATTGCCATTCTACTTGTCCCTCACTTTTTCTTCTTGTCTCTTTTCCTTTTTTTTTCCCCCCATTCATTCACTATTAATTTTACGATGGATATCATTTCCTTTTTTTTACATTTACTTATTTATTTTTTTTTTCAAGTATCATAAAGACTTTTTTTTCAATTTGTAATTAATTCAATTGAACATGTTTTATCATTTATATTTCTACAGAATGATGCAATTAAATAAAATAATGATTAGATAAAAAATCAATGAGAAACAATATTAGAGGAAGAAAGGATTAAGTGGAACGTGAAGGGAAAGGATAAATTAGAAAATTAATCGAAATATTAATTATTTTTAATATATTAATAAATTGAAAAATTGATTGGAAAAAGTGTAATAAGCGTTTTTGAACTTATTTTAATAAATTAGCAAATTTTATCGAGCGTTTCACTTAGCTCCTGCGTTGAAAAAACGTTTTTTATTATCTTAAAGATATGAAGCATGGTTTTTGTTTAATTATCTTCGCTTAGTTGAATCATTTGTAAAAAAAATTTAATTGTAGATAATTCATAAACTAAACTAATTTTGACTTCCCATTCATTTCTATTATTTCTACATCTGCATAAATATTTCCTTCAATTTTCTCATTTTTACATGAATTTATCATTAAATGACATATTTTAATTGATTTAATACCAGCTATTTACACAGATTTACATTTAAAAATTTTCAATACATAATAAATTAGTTTATGCATCCTTTGCTAAATATTACGTCAAAATAATTTTCTTTTATTTCCATCTGTACATTCTATTGTTTTGGTTTATGCTATTCTGAATTCCGAGAATTTCTTGGTGTATTGAATTCCGGGATACACCGCTAGGTACGTAACCGCGAGAAACTGAGAGACACGAGCAAAAGAGGAATAACCATGGCTCGTATAACTAGAATAGTGAAAAAGAGATAGTAAGTAAGCAAAGAAAGAGACAAACAGAGGCCGAATTGAAACGATTCGCATTTTCTCTGAAAATGTCGTTGCTATTTCATGTACTTTTTTTTGTATCCTTTGAAAAATTTGTACACTCTAGATTTTGTTTTATGAATAATAACGCTTGAAACAATAAAAAAAAAATCGCATTTACAATCCTCGAAAAAATTCAATAAAATTCAAAGGAAATTTTTCGACGAATTCGATATTTATACAAAGTAAATGTTATAAAAAATTATAAGGAATTCATTCAATTATAAAATGATAATTTTTACCGCCAAAAAAGTTTATTTCTGAAGGTGGATAATAAAAATCAAGTAGTGAGGTGTAGTAGTAAATACCGATTGTGGTCAGACTCGGCGTCGTGACTCACTTTTGGTGGTCGAATACGTTTAGTGTTTTCTGCTGGAAGTTCCAAACAATTCTCTGCCAATAAAATAGCAGATGAACGTTCGTGACAACGGAACAAAAGATTAGATATAAAACAGTAGAAAAAAAAGAGAGATAAAAATAGAAAAAAAAAAGTCCACAAAACTCTAATTAACGTTAGACCTAGCAATCAGCGTCAAACACTGAGTCCTTCATTAGAACGTGAATCAAAATGCTGACTCGTTCTTTTCGTTCATTTCTAGTATTTAATCTGGAAGACACGATGTAAGCGAATAGAACTGAGAGTTGAATAAACTGAGTCCTAATTTTTTTTTGTTTTTGTTATGGATTCAAAAATGAATTTACCTTGAAATAAAATTAATTATTCACAATAATCCAGTCCACGATTCTTTGTGATGTTGTGTAGCTCAATAAAATTTTCGACAACTTTATTAGTCACACTGGAGCGACACTATAAAAAATAATGGAAATAATTTGGTAAAAGAAATTTCACTAAACAATCAAAATCTGAGCGAGCCACGTGGGAATGGTATAAAGCACAGCAGGAGCGTCGTTTCTCGCATGAGATCTCGCCAATGTTTCGTCGGAAACTGCGTTATCCGTGACTCCCCACTATCAAGTGTAGGGGCAGGACGAGGAAACTACCCTGAGAGGGTACGACGCGCGACGATGCTCCGCCTCCAAAGAGAAACCCCATCCCTGGTGATCCACTGCGAGTCTCAGGAGCTACGGGCCAACTATATGCCAAACTATCCTGCTAGTGAGACCTGGCTTTGACTCCCAAGACTCTAGACGTGAATCGACAAGTCACATCGTTTTACACAGCCTACATTTTTCCTTGAAGCCATTCGTCCTTCGTACTTTTCCTACAAGAAAAATTTTTCCGCAACAAATCTGACACTTGAAACCATTTTTCTTTTTAATTAAAATTACTTATAATAATGATTGTTAATAATAGAGGCGATTTGATCTACATTATGCTATGCAACTAATTTTAGAATTTGTCTTATATGGAATGAAATATCTCTCAATGTGCAGACGTGAGTTTTGAGATTCCTGCTTATTCGGCTCTACTACTTAGAACTGATTTACTCGTCTTGATTTAATTTTAATTAACTTACTTTATAAAATTGATTTTTTAACTTAAAATAAAATGAAAAGAAACTAATTAAATGCAAAATTATACATAAAAAATGAAGATCCAATTTTTAAATCATAAATTAATCAAGAATTTAAAAAAAAGATTAATCTTAGTCATTATAATTAAATTGACTCTGTCGTGCATTCTTTTATATTTTCAGAACATTTCGAAGTTTATTATCGTGATGATTGGTACATAAATATCAATCAGCAGTTAGTTATAAATGTAACGTTAAACATGATAAAATAAACATAAAATATTGGATATAAAATCTATACAACTACCAAGTGTTTACTTATTTACAAATTGAATATAATATTGCATCAAAATTTAAAATGTTATCTACCAAATACATTATTCTATGACTTGAACATCAACGTCATTCAAAAGAAATAATTTACAGCATGTTGAAAAGTTAACTCTCACTGAGTTCACATTTAATTTATGTATTAGGTTACAACATTAAATCACATTGCATTATTCATATGTAAAAATTATTTATTTTGCCTTTTAAAATAAATGAAAATTACTCGAAAAGATAAAATGTGTAAATTTCGATAAAATATGAAGCAACACAGCAGTTTGACACACTTCTGTTGACTTTAATTGTTACAACGAATTAAAAAAAAAAAAATATGAAATAAAATGATAAAACACTGACTGAAAAGGCCTGAAAGAGGGATCACGAAGGATGCTTACAAGTTGTTCTCTATCGCGACATCGAGGTCGAGTGTTTTTATTCCATTACCCGTGCCACGGCAACCTCTTAACCACTTACTTAGCCCAGAACCTTCGCTCTTTTCTATACCCAGTGCGATCCTCTTTACGCTCGATGGCGTTTGACAACTCAAATATTATCGACGATCCAAGTCTCCTTGTCTTCTCTTCATTTTATTATACTGTTATACACTATATCTATATGCTTTCGGCCATTTACAGGTCGAACTTGTCAACTTGGTGAAAGTAATAGATAAGATAATTTATATTGACACTATTACTTTATCGAAAAAAAATATAGTCACACTCTACATTATATATACGGTGAAAATTGTTTATTTATTTAACAAAAGTTTTACTTATAATAATAATGACTTGATGACTTAGTATTTTTATTGGATGTTTTAAAATTTAATTAAAGTATTGGAAATCAAAACAAATTTTTTAATTAAACCGACTGTGGCTTCGATTGGCCTAGTAAGAATGGCATCAAAGGACTGTAAAAGGAATGGTAAGCTTTCCGCATCACTTTAAAGGGACTTTCTAGTGTAAATTGAAAGGTTAAAAGGCCATTTGAATGGTTTTTACACTTGCTCCGTTTATGATAATAAATAAATTATTAAATTAGAATAAAATATTGATTAGAACTATTTTTTTTAATCAATTCCAATCATATAAAAAATTAATTTTTTTCAACTCATGACATAAAATATTTTTTAATTATTATTAAATTAAATATTTTTTTTTTTATAAATCTATTGGAAGGGCTCTTTGATGTTGATGAAAAATAATTTTTATTTTTGTAAATTATAAAAAAAAAATATGAACGAATTCATCAAATATTTAATGTGCTTTGAGTAAATAAAAAATAAAACTATTTTGTTTATAATTTATTTAATTTATTTTTTCGAATTAGAGTATTATAAAGTTAGAAAATAAATGAGTGCTAATCCCAGGATGATTTGATGGGATGAATGAACATCATCTGTATGAAACTTTTACTCCCATGAGAGGGACACTAGCAATTTCGTACGCTTTGTAAATGATCTTCCTTAATTGAAATACGTGAAAAAGCATCAGTTTCATACACAACTGCATTTTCGTTTCCATCCACTAAGAGACTTGGAAATAGCATTGTTATTTTCATCGAAAATTCATAAGTAATGCTCATTTAAAACATAAACGTTCACTAGAAATAGTATTTGTCTTCAATTAATGAGCTATCGCAAAAACTGTACACACTTGAATATTGTTTCAAACATTATTGTTTATTTTACAATTTTTATAATACTCCAATGATAGGATATGGTTATCAATCACATCAAATTTATTCAACTGGTAAATAAACTTTTATTCTTCATCATTTCATGTCGTTTATAACCAACAATCATAAAGCAATGATTTCTAAAAATATTCATGAATGGAAAAAAAAAATTCTGTTAAACGATTTTGATTCAATTGATTCAGAGTTTAAAATGCAAAGAGTGTTAATGAAAATTAGTAGGTAGTAAAAAAAAATCATTCCAAGTTGTGCGATGATACGAGTTTTCAATTAAACTGCAGGAGATAACGGTAATAACACCCACTTAAAACACTGTATTTTATGAAGTGATTTAACACGGAGAATAATAAATCGTAAAATTACCAACCTCCTTTTTTAATTACATGATATTTTATTCTATAAAGTAACTTTAATATCCTTAAAAAAAATCAAACTAAGATTCTACTAATTTTACTTTTAAATTTATAAAAATTATTATCTACAATATTTTAATATTTAATTTAATAAATGATAATTCAATAATTTTTATTGATTTTTCTAATCAATTCTTCTTTACCGACTCACGACGATTGATAAAAAAAATTTAATAACCATCCAAAAGTTTAAAATCACACAGTATTACACGCGTAACCTATAGATTCGTGGATTAAATACTTTTTATTTAATATAATCTTTGTAATAACGAGGTTTTCACAATTTTTGAAATATTTACATATCGGAGAGGAATCTTTTTTGATCGGAAAACTTGTTCCCTCCAGGCTGTTGTATGTGCCAGTGAAAATAACCCCAGAATAATATGGGAAACGAAGGAATATACATGCATGTTGAAATAGAGATAAAATCATGAAAAAAGCGTACACCCACACGTTGATACACACGTGACTGTATATTGAATATATAGATATATATTACAGAGCCAAGTGAAAAGGAAAGAAAGTGTGAGAACGTTTATACGCGTATGGTTTTCCAACTTGGATATAGAACGATTCAATTGTGGTACAAGTGCTTCCGCCAAAATTGTTGGTAGTTTCTGGCGGCCATTTCGAGGCCCATACTATACCCTTACCCATCCTGTTACAAACACGCATATCACATGTGTATGCAAAAACGATTTATCTCTTGGATAGTCGTTATTTCAGTCCGCTCCTGCGTCGTGGCACAAAATTACATTAACATAAACACGATGGTCGACTGGCGCGTATGCATCAAAAATATATTCGGTCACATACGCTATGTATGTCCTTTTTGCTCCTCTATACTCGATCGAGCGTGCGATCATTTATTCCGCTTTATCTGTCTCAATTTCAACGCGACGATTACCGTTTAAATATTCAAACTTTTCAATCCAATCGTTTGAATATTTCATATATTAAATTATCATTTATACCGATAACATTTGTCATATTTCTCAAGGAAATTACGTTCTCTGTATATTGTTTTAAACGTGTTTGCGGTCAAGCATCAAGTCTATTCCATCTATAAACTTTGAATTGATATTTTAAAATTATTTAACAGAACAATTATTCGTGTTAAATATTTTTTCTTAATTTCCCTTCATTGATTTCTAATTGACATTGTAACAATTATTAATACATTTGCCATTAAGGTAAATGTAGTTAGACAATGGTCCTTAGCTTCTATTCTATTTAGTCTGTATTCTATCTCTTTCTAGCTTATTTTGTGCATTTCTGCTTTCTGTTCTCTAACTTTCTTTAAATTTTTCTTAAACTTTGGTTTACTTTTTTAAAAAAATTTTTTTAAACTGCTTTTTTTGTTCCTGTTTTGCATTTCTTAAGCTTCAGTTTTGCAACTTTCATATTTGAATGTTAACACTATTCTTCATTAAAAAAAAACAAACAAACAATGGTTAAACAACAATAAAAAAAATACTGGCGAAGTAAACAGGGAAAGTAAGAGAAAAATATAAGCAATTTTATAATAAAATTTTGTTCTATATTATTGTTGTATTGAATGAATTAAAAATAAATAAATTCCTGAAAAAATTATAACTATTGTTGATAAAAATCATTCTTGAGTATATAATCATTTCCAGAACAAGTCCTGTTACTACCATAAGTCTATAGTCCTGTAGCAGACACAAGACACTGTTCTGTTCTGACAATACAACAGTGTCTCGTTGAAGTTACATGTTTTTCTGTGTACTCTAAATCTACCGTAAAGCTACCCCTAGTAGAGTATGCCAGACTTCCTAGTAAATGAAGTTATCATTTAGTCATAAATAAGTACACAACCGGTACTGGATGATTACTTCATGCCAGCCTCAATGGTGGGACTGTAATACATTTCTTCTAGAAAGCTTGGGTCTACCATGAACCATTAAAACCAAAAACTTAATTTATTCTTTACACTACTTTTTATTTTTATTTTTGAGTTGTTTTTCGCATTATTTGTGACCACCAAAACGAAATGTATA